GATCACTGCCGTGTTGGTCTGATGCTCCTTCAGCCGCATCCCCTTCTCATTCTCCAGCACCAGTACCCCGGATGGGCGCACTTCCTTCACCCTCCGCTTTTCTGTCCCTACCCCCACATCCAGCGTGTCTTGCTTCGCCTGTTTCAGGTACACTTCTTGACCCTCGCTGACCCCCTTCTTTGCCTTTCCCGATCCCTGTTGCTGCCGCTGCTCGTAGCGTCTCGCATCTCTCAGCTGTGCGGTGTGGAGGTTCTCCAAGGCCGCTGGCATCATGACTCGCAGGTACCTTGCTCTGACTTCAGATAGTGCTACCCAGTTCTCTATGGTGCCCGCCGTCACTGTGTCTGTCAGGACCCGTGGAGCTCCCACCGGCAGTACTGGCTCGCATCCGAACAAGAGGCTGTACGGTGAGTGATCTCGCAGGGCTGCTTGCTTCCCAAACCGGTACCCTGCTGCAATCCAATGCAGCTCGTCATCCCAGTCCATCTTCCTCTTCTCCCCATATGCGCGCAGTCCTCTCTTTATGGTCTGCACCAAGCGCTCAGTCAACCCGTCACTCTGAGGATGGTAGCGGGAGGTGCGGCGGTGGGTAATGCCCGCCTCCTCTAACATCTTCTTGAACTCCCCTTGGAACTCATTTCCCTGGTCCGTGAGGACCTCTCCGCACGCCCCAAATCTGCACAGCACTTGCTCTTTGAACGCTGCTGCTACGTGCCTTGAGTTCTTGCTTGGGATCGCCCTGACCTCTAACCATTTGCTCACGTGCTCCACCATGAGCATGATGTACTGTTTCCCTCCCCTACTCAGCGGCAGTTCTCCCGCCAAATCCAGGGACCACCTGAATCCCAAGCCGCGGATGGGCAGCGACTGCAGCTCGGCCTTGGCTTGCGTCAGGTTCGCCCTGCTTCTCTGGCATGCTTCACAACTCTCCACCCACTTCTTCACCTGCCCTCGCATTCCTTCCCACCACCATCCCGTCCTTAGCAGCTGTACCGTCCTTTCATGCCCATAGTGGCCTAGCTTTGCGTGCACTTCTCGGATCACCGCCTCCCTCTCGCCTGGCGCTGGCACCAGCTTCCATCCATCCTCTGTCTGTATCTGCAGCTGCTGCTGGTACCACCTGTAGTGGTGCCCCCTTGCCCTTACCCTCTCCGTCATCTCCTCATCCTCTTCCGTTTCCCCCTTCACCCACCTCATGGCTGCTTCATCCTCCCAGATGTCTGCCGGCCCTCTGCTCCCCTTAGCCCCCTTTAGCTTGACCTGCTTTGCTAGCAGGATCAGTGTCGCCGTGGGCTCTGGTGGTGGCGGATTGCGGGAGAGGCCATCCACGTGCTGCAGAGTTTTTCCGGGCCTGTGCCGGATTTTGAAGTCATACTCCTGTAATTTCATGGCCCACCGTGCGTTCTTGCCCGTCAGCCCCGGTGTGGTCATCAGCCACGTTAGTGGCTGGTGGTCCGTCACCAATGTGAACTCACAGCCCTGCAGGTACACCCTGAAGTGGCCCACGGCCCATACTGCTGCTAGTCCTTCCCCTATGTAGGAGCTATACTGTGCCTCTGCCGAGTTACAGCTCCTGCTCGCATATGCTACCACTTTCTCCTCCCCCTCTTTTTCTTGGCAGAGTATGGCCCCCATTCCTTGGCTGCTCCAGTCGGTGTAGAGGGTAAACGGCTGGTTCGCTACCGGCAGCTGCAGCACCGTTGCCGTCTTAACCGCTGTCATCAAATCCTTCAAAGCCTCCTTCTGTGCTTCTCCCCATTCCCACGCCTTGTCCTCCCTCAGCATCCCATTCAGCACCGTGGCTCGCTTGCTGAATTTAGGCACGAACCGCCTGTAGTAGCTTAGGAAGCCCAGCACTGCCCGCAGCCCCGATTTATCCTTGGGCTCCCGCAGCTTGTCCAGGACCTCCACCTTGGCCTGTTGAATCCCAATCTGCCCCCCTGTCACCTCGTACCCCAGGTACAGTACGGTCTGCTCTCCCCATCTACACTTCTTCGGGTGGCAGGTAAGTCCTGCCCCCTCTATTGCACTCAGCGTCCTCTCCGCATCCTGTAAGTGCTGCTGTTCCGTGGCGCTGAAGATTACTACGTCATCGATGTAGCATGCAGCACACTCCACATCACGCAACACTGAATCCATGACCCTCTGGAACACGGCTGATGCGTTCCTCAGACCGAAGGGCATGTACAACCACTCGTACAGCCCGTCTGGCCCATGGAACGCAGTTTTCTTGATGTCTTCCTCTCTGATCTTAATCTGATTGAACCCTTGTCGCAGGTCCAGCGTCGTGAAGAAGACCCCATCCGCCAGCTTATCAAAAATCTCTTCAGCCATTGGCATCGGGTACCTGTCCGGTACGGTGATTTTGTTGAGTGCTCTATAATCACCGCACATCCTCCTGCTCAGAATCTCCCCCATCAGGTCCTTTCGTGCGGCTACCACTGTCGGTGTGGCATACTCCGACTCTGACCGCCTAATCAGCCCTGCCTCCAGCAATTCCTTGATCTTTACCTTACAAATCTCCTCATCCCCAGGTGGCATCTTCCTCCTTCGGTGGAACACGGGCTCTGCGCTGCTCAATTTCAGCTCCATCTCCTTCACCTTGCACCGTCCCAACTCCTGCAGGGTGAAGGCGAAGCATTTCCTATGCTTGGCCAGCAGCTGTTGCATGGCCTCCTTCCCCTCCTCACTCATCTGGTCCCCCATTGTCCACCTTTCTTTCTCCCCCTCCCGGCAGCTCCATGCTCCTTGCGGGACAGGCGCAGTTTCATTCTCATCTTCCCGGTGCCCCCAGTTCAGAACCGTCTCTCTCCACATCCGCTGAACCAGCCACCTCAGCATGTTGCCATCCATGGCATTCCCTAACGCCCTCCTCCTTTCTTCCTCGCTCACTCCGGTGGCTGCTGTGACATCCTCCCCATATCCCATGGCGAGCTCTCGCTCCAGCGCGGTAGGTTCCTCCCATTGCCGGCTCTTATGGTCATATATTAACCCCGGCCCCGGCTTCCCCGCTTCCCACTTATAGCCGGTTGCCCCCTGATAGGCGACCAGGGTGGGCAGCGCCCGTCTGTCTTGTCCCACCTGATTACATGGGTAATGCCTGCTGTAGCTCTTCCTGCTCACTGGTGCTGGGGTCCGCCCGGGCTCCAGGATGTCCTGTACCTTTCTCTCCGAAGCTCTCCTCACCCCATTCGCCTCCTCTTGCAGGTCTTGCACTGGCACAACGTTTTGCCAATACATCCTGAGCCGGTGTGCATACGACCCCATCCTTGCTGCATCAGAGCTCACCCCTTTGCCCAACTGTCTCTTAATCTTCTCCCTCACTAGCCGAATTGGCTCGCGGCTGTCCCCTTCCAGGTCCAAGTTCTCCAGAAGGTATGCCACCCTGCCTTGCCTCTCCTGCAACCAGTCCATGATACGAAACAGGTCCTCCATCAGCTTCGTCCTGGGGTCCAGTTCTCCCTTCCCCTTTTCGGCCCATGACACCCCTTGACATTCCCACCCTGCCACCAGCAGGTCCACCTGCCCCCAGCTGGCTACCTCTGTCTCTGTCACCTTCCTCACATCATGAATGGTTCTGCCCATTGCTTCCCGGATCACCTCCCTGCTCAGTAGCTCTGGGAACTCTGCGTGTAACTTCAACGCGTGGTGTTCCGCCATCTTCCTCGCTGCTGGTGCCTGTTCCACATATATCCACTGTCTCACGGCGATTCCACTTCTCACCACAGCTGCCAATCCTGCCCCGATTCCCCCGAACAGCTCCACCAGTCGGATGGGCTGCCGCTAGTCAGTCTGGTGCCTCGGCTCATCCATGAGCTTCATCTTGGGCTCTTCCTCTGCTCCTTTAGGTCCCTTCTGTCCCCTTGCCTGCTGTTCCCCTGGCGTCTGCCCTGCAGTCGCCTGGTACGCTCTCTTCGGCTCCACCTTCACGAACTGTACGAGCAGCTGCCCCAAGGGCCCTTCCTTCTTCCAATATCGCGTCCGGAACTCCACTCTCTCCGTCCACGTGCATATCGTCATCCCCACCGCAAACACCATCTCTGTGCCCACCAGGACATCGAAGTCCTCTGAGTCTGAGATTCCACACTTCATCCTGATTTTGGTCTCATGTTCTTCCCCCGGCAGCAATGTCAACTCTATGGGTGTCCGTGTGCACGGCATCCACTTCGGTTCCCCCCCTTCTGCCGTCATCACTAGCATTCCTTTCGCTACGTGCTTCTCTGGGGCCATCAATCCAAGCTTTTCTGCCATGCTCTTGCCCAGCATCACACTTTGTGCCCCGGTATCTATGATGGCAGTCCTCACCCTCTCTCCTTCTACCTTCATTGCACCCCCCTTTACCAGCAGCACGGAGGTCTGACAAGCCAGCCTCTCTTGTGGGTGGCGCGCTGGCAAATTCTCCTGCTCTTGCTCCTCTAGTTTCCGCCCCTTCTCCCGCTCCTTCCTCACATGGTCTTGTCTGCCGTCTCTCCCCCCGCTCCGCAGCCCTCTCTCTTCCCTGCCTCTCCAGGCCATGAGGGCACACTGCACATCCTGTTCCACCTCTTCTCCCTCTTCATCCCTGGCGTACATTCCCGCCTCTGCTTCCCGTGTCGGTCTTAATGCTTGCAGCTGCGACTGCAGTTTGCTGATCTACCGCTCCAGGTCTGCTGGGTTCCTCTTTGCTCCTCCCTCCCGCTGATAGCAATCTTTCGCCTCGTGCCCCCTCTTGCCACAAATCTCACAGCTTGGGGCGTCAGGACAGTCTCTCCTTCGGTGCCCTGGCTTCCCGCAGCAATCACAGTTCTTGCAGTCCCTGCGAAGATGCCCCACTTGCCCGCATCTGTGACAGGTCCGAGTATCAGTCCTGCCCTCCCCTCGACCCTCTGGACTCCCTCGTTCCTCGGGAATCATCGCTGCTGCCCATGTTGGCCTGCGGCTGCGCTCTGACGGCTTGGGCAGGTATGCTTCGTACTTCCTTTGTGCGAGCTCCACTTTTTCCGCTAGCTCGAATACCTCTTCTAGGCTCGCATCTGCCCCCAACTCATACACCCTCATCCTTAAGCCACCCCCCAAGCTCTCGTCCAGCCCCCCCAAGAACTTGCTAATCAGGAGGCTAGTGTCCGTGCACGTCACGTCCTCCGCCACGTTGATCAATCGGTTATAGTAGGTGAGCAATGACTCCATCCGCCCCCTCTTAAAGTCTTGAAACTCCCTTATCCGTTCTGCAGTGTGTCCCGGAAACTGTCGCTGCAGCCGGCGGAGGAACGCCTCCGTGGGGTCTTCACCGTGCCTTCCCGCCCTCCGCAGCAGCTCATCCATTCTCATCCGATACAATGTCTCCGCCTCTCCCTCCAGCGTGTTAGGTAAGCTCAGAAAGAAGTCTACCGGGTCCATGCCGCTCCTGTCGCACCGATACCGCACATTACCCACTTGCATGAGGTAATTCTTGAGCGAGGGCCCCGTACGCTGATCTCCTGAGAACCTCGCCGGGACCTCCACACGTGGTACCGCAGCCGCACTCCCTCGACCTTCTCCCCAGGACTCGCTTGTTGCTCTGGCCTGCCTTCCGTGTGTCCCCCTTTTCCTTGCTCTCTCCACTCCTTCCCTCGCCTCTCTGGCTCGTTCCGCACTGTATGCCAAACTCCCGCCCCCGACCTTGCTTCCCCGCTGGTCCCATCCCGCCTCCTTCTGCAGGTCCCTCGAGCTCGTGCGCCCTTCTGTGCGTTGACCTTGCCTATCCGGCGAGTGGTCTTCCCTCGCCCGTTCTTCCCGCCGCGTCTCGCGCCGATGCTTCCCTGGCGACGGTGACCGCTCGTCTCTCCTTCCTCCACGCTGCCGACGGGCGTATGGCGACTGCCATTCCTCATCACGTGCTCCTTCCCGCTGCCTGCGCAGATCTGGCGAGGGGGACCTGCCATCACGCCATCCTTCACGTCTCTGCTGCAGTTCGGGCGAGCGCTCCTCGCCGCCGCGCCACCCTTCGCGGCGCGGATGCGGACCTGGCGAGCGCTCCCCGCCGCGCCACCCTTCGCATCGCGGATGCGGATTTGGCGAGCGCTCCCCGCCGCCGCGCCACCCTTCGCGTCGCGGATGCGGATCTGGCGAGCGCTCCTTGCCGCCGCGCCACCCTTCGCGTCGCGGATGCGGATCTGGCGAGCGCTCCCCGCCGCCGCGCCACCCTTCGCGTCGCGGATGCGGATCTGGCGAGCGCTCCCCGCCGCCGCGCCACCCTTCGCACCGCGGATGCGGATCTGGCGAGCGCTCCCCGCCGCCGCGCCACCCTTCGCGTCGCGGATGCGGATCTGGCGAGCACTCCCCGCCGCCGCGCCACCCTTCGCGTCGCGGATGCGGATCTGGCGAGCGCTCCCCGCCGCCGCACCACCCTTCGCGTCGCTGCTGCGGATCGGGCGAGCGCAATCCCTCGCCTCGCCTTGCTCCACGCTGCCAACGCTTTTCCGGCGTGCGCGACCGTTCATCTCGTCCTCCTCCGCGTCGTCCTCGCTGCCCGGACACGCGCGACTCCGTGTTCCGCTCTCCTCGGTCCTGCGATCGCCGATCGGGCGAGGGATCTCCCTCCTGACGGTCGCGGCGTACCTCTCGCTGCTCCTTTCGTACGCCCTCTGGCCCGTTGGCCTTCGCCTCGCTCTGGTCCGCCGTGCTGTCCGCCAGCGGGGAGTCAGCCTCGTCGGCTCCAGCAGTAGAGCCGTGATTCCCGCTGGCGTCCTCCTCTTGGCGCTGCTGATTCTCGCTGCCCTCGTCAGCGCCTTCTCCGCGGCCTTCCTTCCGCATTTTCCCCACGGGGGAATTCTCCTCTTCGCTGTCCGTCTCGAGATCTCCTCGCCGACCACGATGCCCTCCTGGCGGGGCTTGCGCGCGGTCGCCCTCTCCTCGTCGGCGGTACCCTTCTTCCGGCGAGGGATGTGCCCTCGTGTCACGGCGATATCGACGATCGCCTCCAGATCCGTCGCGCGCATCCGTCCGCTACGGATCGCCTCTCGACATGGCGGATCCCACCCCACCGGTTTCATCCCTGGCCGAACCTCCTCCACGTCCATCTGGCGCTTGGAGGACCCGATCAGCGCGGAAAGCCGGCCTCCGCGGCGATCGTTCCAGCGAGCGCCCGCGTTCCTGCGAGCGCTCGCGCCGCGGTCGTTCCTCCTGCTCACGAAGACTATACTGCCTGCCCCATCGCAGCTCGTGCTTGTCCATGCTCACGCGATGATGCCCTTTTCGCTTGTTATGAAGGAGTTCCCTCCCTCACCCCGTAGGTTCCCTCCTAGTGGCGTGCTGCTGGATGTAGGATCTAAAGCAACTGATTTCACTATGACGAGAGAATAACAAGCAAAAAGCATGGATTGTGTGTTCGTGACTGAACTTACCTTGCCCAGGCTCAAGTCGCACATTTCACAATGTGCGGCTCGAGTTTGGGCTGGTCCTCCCTGATTGGTTCAATGCATTTCGCCCCTCGGTGCTTTCCCTCCCATTCCCAACGTCAAATTCGTCCTCCCCCTTACTACACCTCGAATCCCATTACAACATCTGCTACACCTCAATCTACACCTGCGCATCACTGTCATCGCATATGCACGAAGTGCATATTTGGTGACAAGCGGCGACTGCTTCAGCCCATAGAGGCTCTTCAGCAGCTTGCACACCCGGCCGGTTCCGTCGTTGAAGTAGTCCGGCTGGGACATGTAGAGCACCCGGTCGAGCTTGCTCTGCAGGAAGGCGTTCTTCATGTCGAGCTGCATCAGGTTGAGGTTGAGGACAGCGACGATGCTGAGGAAGATTCTCAGCGTGACGTAGCTGTCCACCGGCGCGAACGTCTTGTCGTAGTCGGCGCCGTACACCTGCGTAAAGCCCTTCACGACCAGCCTCGCCTTCTCGCGCTCGATGGTGTCATCGATGTGGTACTTCGTCGTCAGCACCCACCGGTTCTTCATGACGTTTACTCCCGGCGGGCGCTCGACCAGCTCCCAAGTGCCCATGCTGATGAGGCTGCGGATCTCCTCCTCCATGGCGGCCTTCACCGCCGGGCTCTTCCAGCTCGCCAACGCCTCCTTCACTGTCATCGTTGAAATGTCCCAGCGGTGCTCGGGGTCGGCGTGCATGTCGGGGTCGAGCTCCGGAAACTCCTCATCCTCCTCGGCGTCGTCGTAGAGCAGGTCATCCTCGTCCACGTCGTACACCGTGGTGAAGGCAGCGGGGACGAAGAAGTCAGGCGGCCTCCGTGGTCGGCCTGAACGCCGTGGTCCCGGCTGGACCTCCTCGGCGTCCCCTCCATCGTCGCAATCGGCGCTATCCTCGGCGTCCTGCTGCACCTCCTTGGCGTCCTGCTGTACCTCCTTAGCGTCCTGCTGCACCTCATTCGGCGTCCCAAACAACTACTCCCCTGCGGTCGGCTCCCCTGACGACTAGTCCTTGGTTGGCGTCGCTGCTGCCTGCTCCCCTGTCAGCTGCTGTGCTGCAGGCGTCTCCTTCACCGGCTTCACCAACGTCGGCTGCACCACCTGCTGCCTCCTGGCGCTGGCTTTCACAGCAACCCGTCGGCCACCGGCGATGCTTGGGGCTGGCGCCACAGGTGACGCCCCACTTCTCCCCTCATCACCGGAGGCCGACGTCGGGGTCAGCCCATGCAAGTCAGCAACAAGGGGAGGGGCAGGTGAAGAGCAGGTAGCAGGGATGTCCTCGGCGTCCTCACTAGCAGGCTCACCGACCTCGGCGAGCAGAGGCAGCGTCGCCGTCGAGGTGTCCGTTGGCGGGTGAACCGTCATCCGCCCTGACGCCGGCCCGTGCGCCGACTTCCACACGTCCAGCGACATGCTCTCGTAGAACACCACGTCCGACGTGGTGACCACCCGGTTGTCGGCGAGGTCGAGGAGCTCCCAACCCTTACTCTCCTCCGACACGCCGAGGTGAAGGCCCCACCGGGCCTTCGGCTGCAGCTTCCCACCACGCTGCTGCTCGGGGACCAAGAACTGCGCCATGCAGCCCCACACCCGCGCCAGCGACAAGTCGGGCTTCTTCCCGGTGAGCAGCTGGTACGGCATCGTCCCCGGCGGCAGCGCCGATCGCTCGAGGCAGTTGCGGACCCAGACAGCCTGCCAGAGAGCGAGGTGCCACCAGTGGTGCTGCACACCCATGTGCAGCAGCATCGTCCGCACCGACTCCACCACCGTCCGCATCTCCCGCTCTGCCATGCCGTTCTGCTGCGGGGTGTACGGGCAGGTCAGGTCGTGGACGATCCGCTTGCCGTTCACGAGGTCAGTGAATTGCTTCCCAAGGAACTCCCCTCCTCGATCAGAGCGCAGCATCAACACCGACCTCTTCGTCTGCCTCTCTGCCACCGCCAGCCACTGCACGAACTCCCGCAACGCATCCGACTTCTTGGCGACCGGCCTCACCCACACGTAGCGGGTCTTGTGGTCCTTCAGCAGCAAGAAGTACACGCTACCATCCTTGGCAGCCACGCGGAAAGGCCCGCACAGGTCGGTGTGCACAACGGCCAGCACGTCCTCGGCGTCGGAACTCTGGTCGGGGAAGGTGTGTCGCGCCAGCTTCCCGCCGACGCACGAAACACACTGCGAGTCGGCGCCCGACGCCGACTTGAGGTCCAGCCCAGTGGCGACCTCGTGCTTCGCCGAGCTCCGTATGGTATCCATGCCGGCGTGCGCAAGCCTCGCGTGCATCCTGTCCGGCGTTGCCCTCGTCGCCGAGACGATCGCCCGCAGGGCCACCACCTCTGTGGAGGGCGTCGTCGGCGTGGCCGGACAGGGACGCAGGTCGGTGCAGAGAACACATCCGGTGTACGTTGCCCGGCCGAGCACCTCTCCCGCTGCCGAGACGAGCAACATACCGTCGCCGTCCTCCTGCAGCTTCACGCCGTTCTCCTTCAGCTGGCCGGCCGAAAGCAGGCTGGCACGCACGCCCGGGACGTAGAGCACGTCGGGGATGAGCACCTGCTTCCCGGCCTCTCCTTGCAGAGCGACAGTGCCGCGGCCCTGAATGTTCTGAAGCGCCCCATTGAAGCCGCGCACGTGCTTCACGTCGCCGCTCAGCCCCAAGTCGACGAAGGCCTCCTTCGTCCCCATCAGGTGGTGCGAGCATCCGCTGTCGAGCAGGAAAACCGCCGGGTTCGCCTGCACAGGTGCTGCCACCGCCTGGAAGTCCTCACTGGCCTCTAGCGCAAGCGAGACGGTCGGCTCCATCACGCCGACCAGCGAGCACGACGCCGCCTTGTCGTCTCGCCCCTTTTCGCCAGTAGAGGAGTCGGCGTCCTTCGCCGATGACGACTTGGTCATCTGCTTCTCCTTGTGCGGCTTGTTTCCACCTCGACGAGGACGACGGCCGCCAGACCTCCCGCGGCCTCCCTTGGCATCGTCATTGGAGGGGCGTACAAGCTAAAGAAAGCGGAGGGGAGGGGAGAGAGAGGGAGAAGGGTCGTACGAGGCGGAGTAGCAGAGGTTGCGGATGAAGAGCCGGCCCGTCTCCCTCACATCCTCTGCTGCTCCTCCATCCACCACTGGCCCCCCTCCCGCCTCCGCTGCTGCCCCATCCACCACACCATCCCCTTCCTCTTCGTCTTCCTCCTGTTCCTCCCTTTGTTCACCTTCTTCCTCTTCATCTTCACTCTCCTCCCCTTCCTCCTCCTCCTCCTCCCCCTCTTCTTCTTCTCCCTCTCCCCCCTCTTCCACGTCTCCGTCCTCCTCTCCCTCACTCCCTTCCTCGTTCCCCACCCTCCCTCCCACTTTCTCCTTCTCTCCCTCCTCCTCCTCCTCCTCATCATCATCATCATCACTCCAATTCGAAGCAGCCCTTTTCTTGAGATAATCCAGATTACTCAAACCCTCCTCCTCCTCCCTTTCCTCCCTTTCCTCCCCTTCCTCCCCCTCCTCTCCCTCCTCCCCCTCACTCCCCTCCTCCTCCCCCTCCTCCCCATCTCCGTCCCCCTTCTCTTCCCCCTCCTCCTCACTCCCATCCCCCTCTACAATCACATCCCCATACAACTCATCATCACTCTCTTCCCCTCCCCCCTCCTCCCCACTCTTCCTCCCTCCCCTTCCCACCTCCACCACACCTCCACTCACACTCCCACCACCCCTCCCTTTCCCCAATCCCCCTCCTCCCCCCCCATCCCCATCCACAGTATCATTAGCCCAAACCTTCTTCTTCCCGCCTCGCTCCATCACCTCTAGAAATTCCCTAAACCCTTCATCCTCCTGCGCTGCTTGCTTCACAGCCACCCCTCCCACCACCCTCCCTGCCTTCTTCTTCATCCCTTTCTCCCCTCCCACCCCCTCTGCTCCTGCCCCACCCTCCCCCCCGTCCCCTCCGTCCCCTGCCTTCTTCCCGCCCTGTTTGCCCCCTTCCCCCCCTGCTGTGACTCCCTTTTCCCCCGACTTCCCCTCGCCCTTGGTATCTTTCGCCTGCGTGTGCTTGCTCCATGCGCGGGGCAGCGCCGTGTGACCAATGGGCATGGCGAACTGCAATGGAGGGGGAGACAGGGGAATGGGGATTACGGTGGGGCACTATTGGCTTTCGATTGAGCTGACCTGGAAGTCATTTCCTCTTTCGCCTGGCTGTGTGTGCTTGCTCCACGCGCGGGAGCGGGGCAACGCCGTGTGAGACCGATGGGCATCGCGAACTGAAGGCGAGGGAATGGCGGACGAATGGGGATGGTGGAAGAAGGAGAAGACGAGGATTGTTGGCTTTGAGTTGACACTCAGATGCAAGGTTCAAAAATACGGTCGTTTTTTTTAGATGTTACCGTAAAATACAGTATCCTATAATAGGCTCCTGCGAGAAATCGTAGAGCGATTTCAAAAATACGGTCGTATGTTTGAGGTTGATTTTGAGAATTCTCAAAATCAACCTCAAACAAAATAAGGTCGTATGTTTGAACCTTGCTCAGACGTCATCGCCTTGGCCTGGGTGTGCTTGCTCCACGCCACACGCGGGGCAACGCCGTGTGGGAATCACTTCTGAGAATTCTCAAAAGCAACGCCGTGTGGCCGGCCGATGGGCATTGCGAACTGCAACTGAAGAGCAGTGGCTGGCAGGAAGATACGGATTGCGGTGGGTGGGTCATTAATGACTTTAGACTTGACTCACACGCCGCCTCTTTGGCCTGCCCTGCGTGTGCTTGCTCCAGGTGCGGGGCAACGCCGTGTGTGTGATCAATGGGCAGCAGGGAGGGAGTCTTCCCCTATGCAGCAAGCGGGTTACCTCGCAGGTGAGGCGGGTTACCTCGCAGGTGAGGCGGGTTACCTCGCAGGTGTCCGTCCATGAAGGAGGGATTGAAGCAGCGGAGTGAATAGTAACAGACATAACAATACGTAACAGGGTTACCGCACCTCGCAGGTGAGTCGAAAGGTGTCCATGAAGGAGCGATTGAAATAGGCTATCGCCGCTGCTGCCTCCTCCTCTGATCGAAGCCCCACAAAGCCAAACTGCCTCGACCGCCCGTCGCTGGTGGGAGCGGGAAAGCAAGGGGATGAGATGGCAGCAAGCAGAAGCAGGGCGAAGAAGCCTTCTTCCTCCTCCTCTGATCGAAGCCCCACAAAGCCAAACTGCCTCGACTGCTCGTCGCTGGTGGGAGCGGGAAAGCAAGGGGATGAGATGGTAGTAAGCAGAAGCAGGGCGAAGAAGCCTTCTTCCTCCTCCTCTGCTCGCAGCCCCACAAAGCCAAACTGCCTCGACCGCCCGTCGCTGGTGGGGGAGGGAGGGGGCGGGGGGAGAGGGGGGGGGAGGGGGAGGGAAGGGGAGGGAGGGGGGGGTGGGTTGTGGGTTTGGGGGAGGAGAAGGAGGAAGGGGAGAGCGGTGGAGGCAGAAGCAATGCGACGGAACCTTCTTCCTTAACTGATCGCAGCCTCACAAAGCGAAACTGCCGCGACCGCCCGTCGCTGATGAGGGGGAGAAGGGGAACGGGGTTGAACGGGCGGTGAGAGGGGGGAGAGGGGGAGTTGATGGGAGAGGGGAGGGCGATGGGAGGGGACCGGGAGCGGGGAGGGGGGGTGGGAGGGATAGAGGAAGGGGATGGGGAGGGGAAATGGGGGGGGGAATCTGAGGGGAAATGGGAGTGGGAGCTACGGAGGGGGGATGAGATGGCAGAAGCAAGGAAATTCCTCCAACAGAATACTATAAATGTGCTGTTGCGACGATTCCCATTAGCGTCGGGTGAAAGGGGGGATGATGTGATGTGATGTGGCAGAAGCGAGAGGATGAGCATTCCTCCCCACTTGATTCCCCGCACTTGATTCCCCCGCACTAAAATTCCCCCGCACTTGATTCCCCCGCACTTGATTCCCCCGCACTTGATTCCTCCCCACTTGATTCCCCCGCACTTGAGTCCCCCGCACTTGATTTCCCCACACTTGATTCCCCCGCACTTGAGTCCCCGCACTTGATTCTCCCGCTCTTGACTCCCCCCCACTCCCGCACTCGACTCCCCCGCACTTGATGGGGGAAAAAAGACCCAGCACTCAGCATATGCCATGTCATGTGACGCTGGCTAGTGAGTTGATTTTTGAGGCGCCTCAGAAAGAAACACGGCACCCAGCATATGCCATGTCATGTGACGCTGGATAGCAGGACCGCTCACCGCGTGCGCATAATCTTAGCGTCGGTGACGTGGCCCTTGACGGAAAAATGTTCCCTCAGTCTGTCCTCCGTCACGTATTCTGGCAACCCCTTGACGCACACGCGCGTGCTTCGAGGCATCTGGTGAGCCTCCTCCGTCTGTACCCCCATAGTGAGTCCCGCTATTGGCAGACAGCCTCGTGGTCTACAGAGAGTCAACGGAGGGTCAACGGAGCTTTAACGGAAAATTAGCGGAGAACGTCAATTCGCGAGATACATCAACTGACTCGTGGAACGCTAGAACGCGAGGTTACGGAAGAGGCTACGCGAGCAGTCAAATTGACTGCTCAATTATGAATTTTGGCCGAACAGCGAACAGGCAGTGGCTAGCCGATTAGAGAAAAACTATCTATTTCAGACAGTCCAACGGTTGTAGTATAGGCCGACAAACCGCGACCTGGATATGACTTTCAGCTAGACCAAGAAGCAACGGCGATTAGGGTTTTGCGAGTGCTGAAAGGTGTGTGGGTTGGGGCAGGGCAGAGGGGATATGAAGGTTTCGGGTTTGGCTACGTAGGGATTACAGACAGGCAGAATCAGTAATACGCAGAGACGAATACAGCGGTTTTCTTACTCTTTCAGTAAAATCAACTCGAGACCGAACACATGAAATTAAATCCTCCTATGCAATGGACTGGATATTTAGATGTTTTTTCGTTGTACATTTGATAAACCAGGACAGAGATTGTTATATGTTACAAAGCTTGACATTTTCCGTCGCGGATTATCTCCTCTACCTTGCCTTTTAATGCATCATAGCTTTTCACCACATCTATCTGACATCCTGACAGCCTTGGATATATCCTTTCATATGCCCCACCAGCTTCCTCTGCTCCTCTTCTAAAATAAATCACATTTCTGCCACCCCAGTAGCTCGACAGTACTGACGTGCCGCCCTGTACACTTATAAAGCATGAGCTCCGTGCCATTGTTCTGAACTGCACCTCGTTATAATCACAGCCCTGGCAGCTCCTGCGAAGCTTGTGCATTGTAGTGAAACGAGGCTGCAGCCAGAACTCCTCCCGGAACATTCTATACTCACCTAAACCAGTCAAGTCCCGCTGCTCCCGATCCGTCCTAAACGCCTTCCCCGCTCGGCTATACACCACATAATACCCACTATTGAGAAACTCGGTAATGATCTGCTTCAGTGCCGGAATGTCAATAAAATTAACCGGCGGCTCACCCCACTCTGTCTCAAACTTGTTACTGATGACAACCAAAGGAGCACCTGCGGGAACGTCAGTCCAAACAGGCCCAAGCTCCCGAATGTGGGAGGCGAGAGGAGGAGCTGTCCACATATCTGGGATCTCGCTATCATGCAAACCCTCCTTAAACCCATACCGCTTGATCACGAAATTGAAGTGTGCGGATCGCTTGCACTTCCATCCGACGGTCTGGATCGGGCTGAAATAGTAGAGCAGCGCGAGAGACGGCATGGCGCAGAACCTAGTAGAGTTTAAGGAGCCGTTTAAATAGTGCCAGTAGGCGAATGGGAGGGCGGCGATCAACTCGTACCCAAACTCGCCGCGGAAAAAGACGTTGACAGGCGTGCGGACAGAAGCAGGAGGGGGGCTATTGGTAGGGTCTAGGTTTGGTGTAGGCATGGTGCTGGTGGGGTCTAGGTTCGGGGCAGGCATGGTGCTGGAGGATTCCAAAGAACGGAGAGGGCTGTGAGTGACGATGAAGATTCGATCAGAGTAAGACAAGGAGGAAGAAGAAGTGGAGGGGTATGGGAGCACGAGATTACCTTGGGCAGCAGCAGAAATGGGAGGTGAGAATACAGAGGGCTTGGATTCACGTAAACTGTGGGTAGAAGGGGTGTCGGTGCCAGTGGGTAGGCTGGTTAAAGAGAGTGGTTCTGAATGAAAGGCTTCTGGCAAGGGGAAGGGAAGGAGCGAGGAAGCTGGGGTGCTTGGGTAATTGTCGGGTTCAGGTGGTGTGACTTGCGCCTGATGCTTTTGCCAGGACAGGTGGGTGGGATGGGGAAGCTGTAATGTGGACAGTGACCTTTGAGGTGACTCAGAAGTTGCTTCAAGCAGTGAGATGTGTGCCTGGTGTCGGTGCAAGGACCGAGGTTGGGGAAGAGGTACGGATGTCAGTGGGTGGGGCAGTGGCAAGGATGAACCAGAGGTCGCTGCTAGGGAAAAAGCCGTTCCTGTATCGTGAGATTCCTCAACACGTGGCAGGGGAAAGGCTGCTTGCGTGGTATGTGATTTCTCAATCTGTGCCAGAGGGGTAGATTTTTGCACTGTGGAGGGGAGGGACGAATCGGTGGGTTTCTGAGCTTCCGAGGCGACTGGGTCTTGAGATGATGGGCCTGGCGAGGGAGCGAGAGAGGGAGGGAAGGAGGAAGGGAGGGAGATGGTGGGTCGGAAATATGGGATTGAGGTACACGGCAGACTGAGCGAGCAATGCAGTGGGTGACTTCAGAAAGATGAAAAGAAGAGGAAGAAAACAAAGGAAAGGAAGAAAGAAAGAAAAACCGTTGTGAGAGCAGCGTAAAGTGGGAGCAGCGTAAAGTGGGAGCAGCGTAAAGTGGGAGCAGCGTAAAGTGGGAGCAGCGTAAAATGGGAGCAGCGTAAAGTGGGAGCAGCGTAAAGTGGGTGCAGAGGGCACCAACAACAGAAACAACTGCACTTGGGACGTTACAAGAGAAGAACTTATATGACGCGCGTCTCCAGGTACCTGGGAAGAATCACCTGACGCGCGCCTCCAGGTACCTGGGAAGAATCACCTGACGCGCGCCTCCAGGTATCTGGGAAGAATCACCTGACGCGCGTCTTCAGGTACCTGGGAAGGGCAGAACTTGGGTATAGGGATCGTGTGGTGGTAGGTTGGAGAGAGCAGGGCGAGCGAAGGGCGTCGCCACGAAACCGACGGCGACGAGGAGAAGAAACGCCACGACGAGTGGTAACCGTTTCGCGCATGGCCGCCGCGAGCAGCGCCAGAAGCGCGCGCAGCGCGAGTAGAGCCAGCGGGGATGCATGATGGAGGGGAGAGCTGGTCGCAGCGTGAACGGCGACGAGCATTGGACGCACGGCGAGTGGAAAAACGGACGACGAGAGCACGGCGACGGGCGCGGCGTCACAAGCATGCGCAAGAGCCGCAGGTGCAAGCAAGAGGGGCAGGAGCAGCCGCAATCGCTGCATGCTACTCGATCCCTTGTGTATAGCGTCGCATTTTATTCATTGGCTTTCACTAATAGGGGTATATCCCCTGCTGTTCCCAAATACCCGAAGCGCGGGAAGACAGACGCACCAAAAGGGAACAGCGCGATAGCGGAACGAGCGCCTATTTATAAAAGAGACGGAATGTAGATGGTACGAAAAGAGTCATCGGGCTCGGCTGTGCCGCCACGGTCGGCGAGAGAAGTAAAAATCACGCGGGAAGGACTTTTTTAGGACGGATGGATGGATGGATGGATGGATGGATGGATGGATGGATGGATGGATGGATGGATGGATGGATGGATGGATGGATGGATGGATGGATGGATGGATGGATGGATGGATGGATGGATGGATGGATGGATGGATGGATGGATGGATGGATGGATGGATGGATGGATGGATGGATGGATGGATGGATGGATGGATGGATGGATGGATGGATGGATGGATGGATGGATGGATGGATGGATGGATGGATGGATGGATGGATGGATGGATGGATGGATGGATGGATGGATGGATGGATGGATGGATGGATGGATGGATGGATGGATGGATGGATGGATGGATGGATGGATGGATGGATGGATGGATGGATGAATGGATGGATGGATGGATGGATGGAAGGGTGGATGGGTATGAAAACAAGTCCCAGAGAGACGGCAGCTTAGAAATTGGGTTTTAGATTCCGCGAGAATCGCGCAAATGTAGTAACCCATTACGAGACAGCTTGCGAATGTTGAGTGCATGTCTGGGCAGAATAAAACTTCGGCCGCTCGAAACCGCAGCGGGAATTCGAACCTCGCAACCCGAGGAGCATTCCGATCGTCGCACATTCCGATGTCCCGAAGATCGCGAACAGGACGCTCACCACTTCGTGTCGCCGCACCTTCGTCTGACACGAAGCAGCGGACGCTGCCTCAATGATGTCACCAATGCAACTCAATCTCGGCAACCAGATAAATGCCGTGCCGCTTTGAAACGCCGATGATCTCACCCCACCGCACACTAATGAAGTTCATCACGCAATGCTCATAATAACAACCACTGACTGATCACCACATACTAAAATGCCGTCCAACCATGCCCCCAACCACTCAGTGATCACCACCATTCCCGCTTTCTACGCCGCCTTTTGCTCAAACCTCCCAGCTGCACCCTACATCAGGCAAACAGCCATGTAAGAAATCAATTAAACATGCCACCGAGTCAATCCGATGTTCTTTCTCTGAGAAACAAAATTCCCAGCAACGCAATATCTCTCTGAAAATTCCGCTAGCTCCAATTCCACACCTTACAACTACTACTACTGACGTGCCAAAAAGGTCATCACCGCGTAGCAACCATGCAACCTAGCGCGGCGCGGCAAGATTCCAAAATTCCCGGAATGAGCGGATCGCTATCAGCGCCGGTGCTCGTTCTTGCGCTAATCGGCGCGCTTGCCGTGTTCACCGAGGTCGTGTCGCTCGTGCGCGTCGGCGTATCGCCGTCCTACGTGTCGTTCTCGTCCGCCGTGGCCGCCGTTCACGGACGCGATGCCGCGTGGACGGAGCGCGGTACGGCTCCGGGAGACGCGGAGAACGACCTGGAAGGAACGGCGTGGCCTGCGGGTGAGTCGGCTCGCATGTGGAAACGCGATGGACCAATCAATGGGGGCAGGTGAATGCGGTGGGATGCGATGAGAGTAGGTGGGTGTAGGTGAGATTATGTGGCAAGATGTTGAATTGGCTTTTATTGAGCTTGTTAAGTCTTTCCAGCATGGATAAAGTGAAACTTACTCCAGCCAGCCAATGAGGGCCAACTGACACGTCAGACTTCATCACTCCTGACCCATCCAACCCACCAGATGCTCCCAACACAGAAGCAGCAACCGAAGCAGCAACCGAAACAGCAGAAGTAGCAGCAGGAGGAGGAGGGGAACCCGGAGGAGGGGAAGGGAGCTCGGGTGTTGACTCCCTTCCGCCGCTCTCTCTGCTGCCTCCAGAGTCACGAGCAGGACTAATGTTCGATGCTCTTCTGAGAGCGCAGTTCCGAGTGCAGCAGGTGCGTTGCGGTTCAGTGCCGTTGAGAGGTACAGTAATCGTAGGTGCCTTGTGTTGCTCTCTCTGTTGACCCCGGAGTCACGAGCACTGCTCATGTTCGATCCTCTTCTCAGGGCGCAGTTCCGAGTGCAGCAGGTGCGATGCGATGCGGTTCAGTGCACTGTAGTGCAGTGTGGTTGGGTGGTGTGCGGCAGCAGCTGTAGGTGGCTCGTGTCACTCTCTGCTGCCTCCAGAGTCACGAACAGGGCTTCTGAGAGCGCAGAAGGTGTGTTGCGGTTCAGTGCGCTGTAGTGCGGTTGAAAGCTGCAGTAGTTGTTGCCTCCTTGTGCCACTCACTCTCTTATGCCCCTGGAGAGAATGAGTCACAAGCAGATGTTTGAAGCCTTCCAGGCGTGGGCAGCAGGCGAGCTACTGGGTGGGTCCCACAGTGCGATTGGTTTGCAAAGGCGTGGTGGAGTGGATAGCATGGCAGCACGGTAAATGATTCGTTCCTATTCCCCCCTACCGCAACCCCCTATAAAAAATGATTACACACAGGCATGGACAGCAGGCGAGCTAATGGCTGGGTCCCGTCCCACAGTGCAATCGCTCTGCAGGGGAGTGATTGAGAGTATGGCAGGGTAGCAGAGGCGCAGTGCTTGCCTGCTTTCCACTCTTCACTCTCCCTCCTTACCTTGATCGCTCACAGGTGTGGGCAGTGGGTGAACTTCTGGGTCCAACAGTGCGGTTATTTTGCAAGGGCGTGGTGGAGAGCATGGCAGCAGAGGCGCAGTGGGCTCCTGCCTGCTTTCCTTCCCAGTGATACTGCACCAAGCCCTTCCCTTCTCATCCTCTCCCTCCCCCACTCCTTCCTCCTCTCCTCGAGACAGGCATGGCAAGCAGGCGAGCTTCTGGGTCCCACAGTGCGGTGGTTCCGCAAGGGGGTGGTGGAAAGCATGGCCGCAGAGGTGCTGTGCCTACCTGGCTACTCCTTGCTCTCTCATTCCCCTCCTTGCCTCCTTCACTGCTCACAGGCGTGGGCAGCAGGCGAGCTACTGGGCCCAACAGTGCGGTGGTTCCGCAAGGGCGTGGTGGAAAGCATGTCAGCAGAGGCGCTGTGGCTGCCTGCTGACGTCATTGCTGCTGCTGCTGCTGACGCTGCTATTGGCGCTGCTGATCCCGACGCTGCTGCCAAGGCTGCTGAAGGTATACTTCTCACATTATTGACTTCTTATCTTAGAAAGTATATTCATTTATTTATCAAGTCCAGCCGAAAGTTGTTCATTTAGGTGCTGGTTAGGGTGTTTTTTCTTTCAGCTTCTTCTCTAGCTTCACCTGAAGAAGGAAGCGGGAATTGGATCCATTGAAGTGAGTGTTCTTGATCGGCTTTGGCTGGCTCTGACGGCGAAGTGGCAGGTGCGGGCCAACGAGTGGGCACTTCGTATTGTGTGTATTCATCTTCTCCTCTCCCCTCTTGCACCCCTGCCTCTTCTCCACTGAGGCAGCAGCGGCAGGGGCCAACCTGGGCGACTCACATCCCCTAATTCTCTTGTTTTCCCTTTCCCCACTCCAGAGGCGGCAGCGAGGGAACGAGACAGAGGTTTGTATCCTTTGAAGCGATTGTGCCTGAGGCTGCTGGCAGCCTGGCACTGACAGCAGAGTGGCAGGAGCGGGCCAACCAGGGCGACTCACATCCACCCCTACCCCTCTTCCCTTGCATTTCCCGTTCCAGAGGCGGCGGCAGCAGCGGCGGCGGCGGCGAAAGAAACGAGGAGAGGGTTGGATCCATTGAAACGGGTGTTCCTGAGACTGCTAGCTCTCACAGCGGAGTGGCAGGTGCGGGCCAACCAGGGGCACGCGGAGACTGGGAAGCATGCCCCGTTTGGCCTCCATATAGTCACACTGGGGGGGTCAATAACGAGGGGATTCAGCAGCAGAAGCACACAGTGAGTCAAGGCTTGTGCCTGACGGGGTTGGGTTGCTGCCCGCACCCAGGGGTGTGTGGAGAAGGAGAAGAACGCTTCCTTTGGCCCGCATATAGTCACATTGAGTGTCACGTGTAGAAAGATGTCTTTTGAGGCGCCTCAAAAGGAAGGGAAAGGGAAGAATGCGAAGAACGCTCCCCTTGATCTGCATATCGTCATACTGAGGGTTCAGCAGCTGAAGCATGCATGCAGAGGGTGGCAGGCTTTAGTCATTGGGTTCTGTGGGTTGTGAGAGGGGTGGTTGAGGGGTGTGTGTGGCTTGTGTGGCTGGATGTGTGGCTCATTGTACACCCACCTCATTTCGAGCCTGCTCAAAATAATTGACCACATCTCCTCTTACCCTTGGCTGTTTCTGCCTCCCCTCCCATCCATCTCCCTTTTTTTTTTTTTTTTTTTTTTTTTTTTTTTCGTCTCTTTCCTCTCCTGCCTCTCTTTCCTCTCCTGCCTCTCTTTCCTCTCCTGCCTCTCTTTCCTCTCCTGCCTCTCTTTCCTCTCCTGCCTCTCTTTCCTCTCCTGCCTCTCTTTCCTCTCCTGCCTCTCTTTCCTCTCCTGCCTCTCTTTCCTCTCCTGCCTCTCTTTCCTCTCCTGCCTCTCTTTCCTCTCCTGCCTCTCTTTCCTCTCCTGCCTCTCTTTCCTCTCCTGCCTCTCTCACCTCTCCTCCCCCGGCCGCCTCCCAGAGTGCGCTACCCCTGGCCGGCTATGTGGCAAAAGACGCGTCCTGCGTCTAGGACGCTTGCGTCCAGACGCAGCGTCTTAGACGCAGGACGCTAGAGGGGGGCCTTAAGGACGCATGAAAAGACGCATGCCCGGGCAGGGCAAAAAAAACCCCCGGGCAGCCGAAATCTGATGCTATAGGGTATGGGAAGAGGGGGGGAACGACGATGCACACATTTGAGGCAAAATCGTCCCCTTCAAATATTCAGGGTTTAGGGTTTACGAAGGAGAATTTTCTTGGTAAACCCTCTAGGGTGTTTTTGATGGTCGAAATGGGTTAGGGGGGGTCGACATGACGCGAAATTGACAGTCGCGTCCAAATCGTTAAAGTCAATTTCGCGCTGGGGCAATTTTTTTTTCCGGTCAGCCCGAAAAAAAAAAAACGGGGTGCGTCCTGCGTCTCTGCGTCTGGACGCTGCGTCCAGACGCAGGACGCGTGCGTCTTTTGCCACATAGCTGGCCGGACCTCCTGCCCTTCTCAGTGACAGCCTTACACTTGATCCCTCTCTCACCATCCTGCATATGTTCCTCCTATCTCCTCTTTCCCGCCGTTCCCCCAGAGTGCGCCACCCCTGGCCGGACCTCCTCCTGCCCTTCTCGGTCACGGCCTTCCCTCACCTCCGCAACTTTGTCACCAACTCTGCTGTGCGTGCCTGTGGGGCCATCTGCCCCGCCCTCAGCCTCCCATCCTTCCTGGGAGATTCCCCAGGTGAGCCTTTCTGCCGTTACCACCCTCCTCAACCTCAACCTCTTCGGCTGTCCCTACACCTCCCACCACAGTGGCCCTGCCAGAGGCTAATGTGACCCCTCTCTTTTACAAGAAATCCCGATTCCTGTGCTCCTTCCTGATGGAAAACGTGCGAACCTAGAGAGCGTAGTAAGAGATTAAGTTCGTCGGCTTCGACGGAACATTGCGTGCAGCTCAATAATAAAGCACGCTTTCAACCAAGAACTAGGCTGATGCAATCGCGATTTGAATGCGACGGGGTATCCTGGCGGAATTACTACGAAGCCATGAATTAGATATAAGAATAGCTTTAGCAAGAGTTCATAAGTGACGATTTTGACAACAATTAAACATAAACCCAAAGTGTCGAACTAGCAACACCAAAGGTGTTGCGGCGAATAGCAAAGGTTTGGTGGTGGTTGTTGTGTGCGAGTTCAATTCCAACCCGCAACAAATCTATCAATCACATTTTGCCCATACTCTTAGCCCACAACCAGGTAGAGCAAAATACCACAACCATCTACACAATCATCACTTCCATCTCTCCTTTTCCACCCTTATCCCACCCCTGGCCCCCACCACCCCGTCCCCAGACATAGTGATCACAGACTTCAACATCAACGTGGGAGAGGCCTGGGACTCCTCTCTGTTGCTACCCCCAACGCTCTCCCCTCTTCCCACACCCATCCCCCTCCTTCCCAATCCTCTCCCTTCCAACACCAGGCATAGTAATAACAGAGTTCAATATAAACGTTGGTGAGGCCTGGGACTCCACGCTCCTGCTGCGCCAGCTGGCGGCCTGACCCTCCCACCCGGCTCTCCTCCACCTCAACCTCTTCGGCTGCTCCTCCACCTTCTCCCACCACAGTGGCCCCACCAGAGGCTCTTCCTCTTCTTGTGACCCCATTCCCACACCTTTCCCTTCCATCCCCTCTCCCCTTTCCCTCACTTCCCCCCAAACAACTTCCTTCCAGGCATAGTAGTAACCGAGTTCAACATAAATGTCGGTGAGGCCTGGGACTCCACGCTCCTGCTGCGCCAGCTGGCAGCGTGGCCCTCCCACCCGGCTCTCCTCAACCTCAACCTCTTCGGCTGCGCCTCCACCTTCTCCCACCACAGCGGCCCCGCCAGAGGCTCCGCCTCCTGCGACCCCATCCCCACGCCCTCCTCCTCTGACTATGCTGCGGCCGCTGCTGCTGCCGCTGGCGTGCCCACACTCAGTATGGCCCGCGCGCTCACTCCGTTCTGGCGCCCCGCGTCCGTTCCCCGATGTAGCAATCTGGAAGGGAGCTATGGGAATGCTTCTGCTGGTACTGCTGTTAGTGGTGGTGGTGCGGTTGGTGGTGTGGGGAGTGGGATAGGAGGAGGTGGAGTGCGGTCGGCTTGGGTGCGGCTGGTTGCAGGGGCGTGTGAGAGGGAGTGCACGCTTCCCAAGGACAGGTGCCCCCCGTCAGGAGGCAAGCCATTCTCCCTTCCCTGCACTGCCTGTGTGCACGCGTGCTACGCCCGGGAGGGGTGGGGGGCGGTGGGATTCGGTGGGGATGGTGGAGAGGCGGTAGGAGGAGGGGAAGGAGTGGTGGAAGAACAGCTGGCGAGTCTGGGAGTGAACCGGCTGATAGGATGCTCAGGTCATGAGCTAGGCTCTCTCTACCTACCTGACCAAACACCTGCCGCCGTCGCCGATGCTGCTGCTGCTGCTGCTGCTGCCGCTGCCGCCGCTGCCGCTGCTGCTAGTAACTCTGACGTGGGAGACTCAGAGGTGGTCGGGCGGCCTCTTTTGGAAGTATCTGCGGAAACAGTGCTGGGTGTCGACCGGGTGCACATGGTAGAGTTTGGGCACGAGCTGGCGGCGGCAGTTGTGGCACGGCATTTGGTGTCCTCTCTGCTGGCTCTTACCCCTCATGACATCAACCTGTACCTAGAAGAAGAGCAGCAAAGAGAGCAAAGGCAGTCCGGTCAACAACAGCAGCAGCAGGCTTGGACACACATAAAGCCAGAGCGAGGGCAGTGCTTCACCACCAACTGGGGGGACTACCGGCAGAGGCACCGGTGCCCCAAGCTTGTTGCCATGAACGGGCAGGTCTCCTTGAAATCCCGCCAGCCTGGGTGGGTGCTGTACCCCTTATCGCGCGATAAAGAAGCTTTTATGTCGCACGTCCCCAACGCTACAGTGACTTTTGCGGCTAATGTGAATCTACGAGCCGGAGGAAGGCTGGCTTTTCTGTTCCTGAAGGCGCAGGATCTCGGGCCTGGGCTTGTACGCGTAGCGTGGGGGGGTGAGGGTGGGAAAGGTGGGGGGGAAGGTGGGGCGATTGGACCGATTTTGTTGAACTCAGAGGCATGGAGATCGCCTACAAGGGTTGTGGGCGGGCAGGTGTTGCCAGGGATAGTGCCAAGAGGGAAGGTGGAGGTTTCAGTGATAGTGGTTCCCAGTGGTGGGAATGGAGCTCCCGAGGGGTTTGGTGTAATTGGCGTATTTGTGTTGTCAGGGCTGCTTCCAGAATCCATGTTTTTATGAGTGCTGAAGATTTGCTTTCTTGCCAATGTGTTATTTAACAAAATTGCATGTTGATACCGTAGTGTGAATGTGCGGAAGCAATACATGTTCCTCTAACAACAGAATATGCTTTCTTCATCTCGTTGGCTTGCTCGTCCACCTTGATCGCAGCACTCGGCACCTCTGCTCCCACCACTTCATTCCTCACAGCAAGCAGCTCACTGGCAACGTATGACATGCTGGGCCGACTGGCAGTGCGCTCCGCGGTGCAGGAGAGGGCCAGCAGGGCCAGGCGCAGCACAGCATCATCCGGGGCGTCCATTCTCAGATCGTTGAGGGGTGCCGGGTTGTCAGAGGAAATGCAATCCTCCTCCTGGCGGGTTGGAGAAGGGGCGTCCATGCTGAAGTCCTTGAGGCGGGCCGGGGTGTGGGAGATGAAAGCCTTCACCTGAAGGATTGAACAAGGCCGGTGGGGATGGGGACAGGGGCAGGGAGTGGCGCAGTACAGTGATGTGGGTGAGGGTCAGTGACACATGCAGTGATGTGGGTGAGGGTCAGTGACACATGCAGTGATGTGATATACATGCAGGGGTGCACGTGCTGAGGTCCTTTAGGGGGGCCGGAGTGCTGTAAGAGATGCAAGCCTTCACCTGAAGGATTGAGGGTAGACATGAGCACAAGGGCGAACACCTGTTCGGTTCGCCTCGAACGTGTTCGAGGCGAACCGAACAGGTTTGTTTTTTTTGCTTAAATTGTTCGCCGAACAGTGTTCGATGTTCGCCCGAACACGTTCGTGTTCGGGCCGCTGCTGCAATTTGCCCCGCGACGAACACGAACGTGTTCGAGGTTCGCCCGAACACGCCTTCACAGGCGAACGGCGAACACGTGTTTTTGCTTAAAGTGTTCGCCGAACCGAACAGTGTTCGGTTCGGCAAACGGATGTGTTCGTCTAGGGGTGAACACGAACATGTTCGTGTTCGCCCCTTGCTCATCCCTAATTGAGGGTGCGGCATGCAAGAGGCAGACGAGCAGAAGGAAGACTGGTTGAGGAATAAGACATTGAGGAGCCACACTTGAGGATTGACATTGTAAACACAACACATGTCAATATTGGTTGGCATAGTGAACACGATACTCTTCAAGTATGACAGGCGAATATGAGACAGTGCAAGGCTGACGTTTTACAGGTTAGAAAGAAGTAATTTACATTATTATGTGCAACAGATCTAACAGCACTGCCACTTGCTGGTGGTGCGTGTGCAGAATTGGTGCATCTGGTGCCATGTGCAGTGCTGGTGCATGTCACGAGATCATAGCACTACACTCACCCATAACACTATGTGGTTGCTCTCCCCATCAACCATATAAAGCGGGCACGTCTGCTTCAAGAGCACCACGAGCATGAGCACACCGAAGCTGCAAGATTGGAGGGTGAGAATCGATTTACAACAGCACGGGAGGTTTTTGAGGCGCCTCCAAAATTATAACAGCACGGGAGGTGTTCTTGCATGATTTTGAGACGTCTCAAAACTTGCATGATTTCTTCGATAGAAACGTTTCCCCTTTCGGTAGACTTGCTGCACCTCCTGCGTTCATACAATACCCGTTCAGCAGTTGACACATCATCACATGATGTGCTGCAGCAGTAGAGACATCAACACGTGCTCACCTATAGATGTCGGTGGCGCTGGTTGCCTTTGACGTGCGGAAGTAGATGGGATCCACATAGCCCGGTGTGCCCATCACTCGAGTGGTGCCCACTGTGGAACCTTCTTCTAACCTCACAAGCCCAAAATCCGCAATCTTGGCCTGATGAATGGTACAGCCACAATGATGAAAGCAAGCCCGATCGAAAGGAAGTGGGCAGATATTCCATGTTGTAGACAGGCAGACCCAAAGTTTAACTTTACTCAACTCGTCTAGTTTAAGTGACGGATTTTGCACCTTATTTTCACTGGAGTTCCTGAGTGAATGTTCTGGACAGAATATGAGAGCACCCTTAGCCGTCTGAGGATAACTAAAATGTACAGTGATCATCCTTCATTCTTTGCTGATATGTTTGGCTTACCATCTGTAAATGTCTCAAATGAGACCTTTCAAATGCTCGATTGTGACCATTTCAAACATCTGAATGACAAGTAACACTAATATTAATGATAACATTCTTACTGTATTTTGTGGCTTGACAGTGAATAATATGGAGTGTGACTCTGGATAGATAAGCCACTGGCCGCATGCAATCATAAGCTTGCCTGCATGTCTGGTGCGAGGATGATGTTGGCGGGTTTGATGTCGCGATGCACAAGGCCAAAGCTGTGGAGGTACTCCAAGCCACGCGCCACACCAATGAGGATGTCCATTCGCTGCTTGAATGTGAGGCAAGAGGGTGCGTCTGTAGAGGTAAAAAGAAAAGAAAAAAAAAAATAGTGAACCTTCAGACAGCTGGAGACTTAGAAGCAGAAGGAAAAGAAGAGGATGGCTCGTGAAAGGGAAACTACCTTTAGTGATCCACGACTCAAGGTCCCCATTTGGAAGAAACTCGTAGATCAAGACCTGCTCTGGCCGTGTCCTCATGTCCCCTCCAACAGCAAAACCAAGAAGCCGCACGATGTTGGGATGATTCTTGTCAACCATTTGTCGCACCTGCGAGAAAACCATATCATCGTGGTGTGGATCGAAAACTTTCACTTGCTTGACTCACTGCGTGCGAAAGCCAGATGCAGGCAATGGATAACATGCAAGGCATGCATGCATGCATGTATTTAGAATAACGGAGAGGTGCCTTGCTGTCATGAGAGCAATACTTGAAACACACCCAAAGCACGGCGCACGGCCCCAAAGCACGGCCCCAAAGCACGCCCCAAAGCACGCCCCAAAGCATGCCACTGCTCACCTCTCGCTGGAAGTCAGCGTCAAGCAGTTTGGCTCGCTTGACGGCCCACAGTGTGGTGCCATCGCGCGGAGACACGCCCTTGTACACGTCACCAAAGGCACCCGACCTCAGCTGGTTGTCACTCGCCCAGTTGCTGGTGGCTGTGAGCACTTCCTCCAGGGAGTACTCCGTGCAGTGAGAGGCCGCCACACTGCCTGCCAGACCTGCTCGTTCAATGGACAAAGGATAAACACGCAGCGCACTTAACCATCTTGACAAATGCACTTCCTCCAGGGAGGGAGTACTCCCTGCAGTGCGAGGCCGCCACACTGCCTGCCAGACCTGCTCGTTCAATGGACAAAGGATAAACACGCAGCGCACTTAACCATTTTGACAAATGCACTTCCTCCAGGGAGGGAGTACTCCCTGCAGTGCGAGGCCGCCACACTGCCTGCCAGACCTGCTCGTTCAATGGACAAAGGATAAACACGCAGCGCACTTAACCGTCTTGACAAATGCATCTTCCTCCAGGGAGATGAGAGAACTTCCTCCAGGGAGATGAGAGAACTTCCTCCAGGGAGATGAGAGAACTTCCTCCAGGGAGATGAGAGAACTTCCTCCAGGGAGATGAGAGAACTTCCTCCAGGGAGATGAGAGAACTTCCTCCAGGGAGATGAGAGAACTTTCTCCAGGGAGATGAGAGAACTTCCTCCAGGGAGATGAGAGAACTTCCTCCAGGGAGATGAGAGAACTTCCTCCAGGGAGATGAGAGAACTTCCTCCAGGGAGTACTCTGTGCAATGAGAGGTTGCACGGAGAGAAAATGAAAAGGGGTGAAAGAACTCGAGGTACAATTGATACATGAAATAATGAGCTTCAGGCTATGGGCAAGTCTTAATGGGTAAGGAATTACGGGCAATTCTCAATGAGATTGGTGGGTTGGAGATTTTAGTTGATCACATTTGGTCAAGTTTGGGAGAGGGGGAGGGAGGGGGGGGGGGGGGGGGAAGGGGGAAGGGGGTGAGGGAGGTGGGGGAGAATGATTGCTACCTTTGAAACTCGGTGGTAAGACATGCCTGCTCTCCTTCACTGCTGTAGCTGCTTCTTCTGATATTTCGTTCCTGCGACCCCTCCACCAAAGGAGCACACCGATCAACAGCAGCAGCAGGGAAGCCGCAGCAGCCACAGCAATGCCAGCAATGGCTGCTGCTGACAGGCCGCCAGACTGGGAGGTGGACGTTGCAAGTGAGGGAGGGGATGCTGGGGAGGCAGCGAGGGGGGATGGGGACGCTGTAGTGCTCCCTGGCGATGTGGAGGGAGTCGCTGGTGGAGGTAAGGGAGGAAATGGACATGGTATGGGAAGGGATGCACTGAGAAGGAATGAAAGCGGTGTGTTGAGGCGAGCTTTTTGATATCAGGAATAAAAGGGGAAGGGGACGACGCTGTGGTGCTCCCTGGAGATGGGGAGGGGGGCACTGGAGAAGGCAAGAGGCGGGATGGTCTGAAAGAGGTGAAGGGATGAGCGGGGAGGGGATAGTAAGTAGGAAAGAAAGCAGTGCATTGAGGAGCGCAGTTTCATATCAGGCCGGCGCACAAATTATGTGTCGATTGAACATGAGTAGAAGTGGAGACGCAGCAGTGCTGCTGATAATAATGTGACTCCAGTTTACAATGTTTTTGGTGAAAGGACTCACACACGACGATTGGAAGACAAAGCATGGAAGACAAAGCATGGAAGACAAAGCATGGAAGTCAAAGCATGGAAGACAAGGCATGGAAGACAAAGCATGGAAGACAAAGCATGGAAGTCAAGGCATGGAAGACAAAGCATGGAAGACAAGGCATGGAAGACAAGGCATGGAAGACAAAGCATGGAAGTCAAAGCATGGAAGACAAGGCATGGAAGACAAAGCATGGAAGACAAAGCATGGAAGTCAAGGCATGGAAGACAAAGCATGGAAGACAAAGCATGGAAGTCAAGGCATGGAAGACAAAGCATGGAAGACAAGGCATGGAAGACAAGGCATGGAAGACAAGGCATGGAAGTCAAAGCATGGAAGTCAAAGCATGGAAGACAAGGCATGGAAGACAAAGCATGGAAGACAACGCATGGAAGTCAAGGCATGGAAGACAAAGCATGGAAGACAAGGCATGGAAGACAAGGCATGGAAGACAAGGCATGGAAGTCAAAGCATGGAAGTCAAAGCATGGAAGACAAGGCATGGAAGACAAAGCATGGAAGACAAAGCATGGAAGTCAAGGCATGGAAGACAAAGCATGGAAGACAAGGCATGGAAGACAAGGCATGGAAGACAAGGCATGGAAGACGAAGACAAGGCATGGAAGACAAGGCATGGAAGACAAGGCATGGAAGACAAGGCATGGAAGACAAGGCATGGAAGTCAAGGCATGGAAGACAAAGCATGGAAGACAAGGCATGGAAGACAAGGCATGGAAGACAAGGCATGGAAGACAAAGCATGGAAGACAAGGCATGGAAGACAAGGCATGGAAGTCAAAGCATGGAAGTCAAAGCATGGAAGACAAAGCATGGAAGACAAGGCATGGAAGACAAGGCATGGAAGACAAAGCATGGAAGTCAAAGCATGGAAGACAAGGCATGGAAGACAAGGCATGGAAGTCAAAGCATGGAAGTCAAAGCATGGAAGACAAGGCATGGAAGACAAAGCATGGAAGTCAAAGCATGGAAGACAAGGCATGGAAGACAAGGCATGGAAGTCAAAGCATGGAAGTCAAAGCATGGAAGACAAGGCATGGAAGACAAAGCATGGAAGTCAAAGCATGGAAGACAAGGCATGGATGAAAGGTCGCTCCGGGCAACTCACATGCTGCTGCCTTGACACAAGTGGTGCAAAAGGAGAGGCACATCAGGCAGAAAGCGCTTTGCGGATCTTGTTTGACAACGCACTGGGTGAAGTCTGGAGGGCATGTCACTGGGGGGCGATCCAAATTCCTGCATGCGTAGAAAGTAGGTATTGCAATACAGAATCACTGAACTGAACTTCGTGAAATCAAGTGTTCAGTTTTAGCTCAATGAAGATTGAATCGAAGTGCTGGTTGACGATGTTGGAGTAGGCTAGAGCTCGCTCTGGTATTTATTCTGGTGTTCTGTTATTGAGAATTTAGTTTTAGTTTTAGTGAAGATTGAATGGAAGGGCTGGTTGATGAGGCTGACATTTCAACTGTATGGAACTTCAAAACAGATGTTATACCTCTCTCTCATTGTATTGCAGACAAAGTTTCCATGTTGCTAAAGAACGTTTCAACTTCACGAGAGTTGACGACAAGCCTCACATTCCTTACCAACTCCCAGTGACAAAGCTGCCGAGATCTACTACAAGTGGCCATGTTGCCACATCTGAAAAGCATACAGCTAATCTCAAGTATCTGTGAAGTATTTGTCGTCAGAGTGTTGCATGGTGTTGTAGCTTGTGTCGCACAGAGTTGAAAACCATAATGTGCATTTACCCACAATATCTTTCACTTCCAGTGTCTGCAACCAGTTCAGCTCTGGTGAATTCATTCAATTGGCTGTTGTAGGAATGTTGTTTTCAGGAATACCAATTGAATGAATTGGTATTCAATTGAATGAATTGGTATTCAATTGAATGAATTGGTATTCAATTAAATGAAGTGGTATTCCTGAGGGAGCAAGCGCCTCATCCTTGTTCGCTGCAGTTCTGTGGCATGGTGGCAAGCCGAGCCCGAGTTGCGCGAGTAAAAAAGGGAGATCAAATTCGCTTCTTTCCATACGTGAGCTTGTATTTCTACCTTTCCTGGTCCAGCATACTTACATAGCGTATTGAGATCGCCACCCATCCGTTCTTCAATTGCCCCTTGGTAACCTAAAGTCTCTAGAAAGGAGGTAGTGCGATATAGGTTGCTGTTTACGATCTCTAGTGCCTTAACGCTTGTAGCGGATATTAGTTTCTAGGCTACTATTCTTCTGATTTTCCCCAAGGTGCTGTGTTCTTCAATTCAGGTCCGACTATTGAGCTTGGTTGCCTTGCACTCAATATCTCATTGAGTCAGGGGCGCCACTGATTGCTTGCCAAGTGCACACGATCCCAGCTTTGAAAAGGATCCCACTTTCAACATATGATTGATAGTGATTCCATTTGGAGGCCTAAGCATATGTTTCAACAGCAACCACACAGCTCATTACCACACCTGCAAAACGCAAAGCTTACGTACTTTCAACTCGAGGCAAACCCCATTCATGCCAAAATTGAGCAAGCGGGGTTCGGTGGCTACAACGTGACATGGCACTCACAAGACACGAAGGTTGGTGAGATTGCCAAACGAAGCAGGAACATTGCCCATGAAGCTATTTCTGCTAAGGTCCCTAAAAAGAGAACAATGAATAGCACGCATATGACAAGATAAGAGGATAATACATTACATTGTAAATATATGACACTTGATAACCGGCAAGAAAACATGAACCATTCACAAATCTAATGCTGTCATCATAGTCTTGTGTCCCATGTGACCCCCTGCCTGCTGTCTTCGACTGTCTCCACCCCTGCAATGGATCCATTTGTAACCAAACCAAACCATTAGCATTCAGATTGCTTGGGGCAATACTGCTTTTGTAACACGCAGTCAGTGAGTACCTAGGTTGGGTCATTGCCGCAAGATAGAATTTGCCATCACATCAGAAAGCGCAATTTAATTATTAAGAGTAATGATGCAAACTAGGTAATGGCAAAATCTAAGGTGTGGTAATAGAATATTCGGGGGAATACGATAACACGTACAAGGACAAGCAGTTACAACGATTGTGAATCCAAGCAGGGCAGTGAAACGCGAGTTATGTCAGCCCAAGAAACGGTACATCAGAAAATAAGCCCTTCCCAACCAACCAGTGGCGCACTCACAATGCGGTCAAAGTTTTTAGGCTGCCTAACGACTGTGTTATTGCGCCAGCCAGCCCATTCTTCCCGAAGTTTCTGCAATTGATAGATATGAATAGGAGTCCAAACGCAAGGCACAGGTGTTGCAAATTTGGGTCGACGACGGGTCGCCAAAACCCGACAAAAAGGACCGAAATTCGGGTCTCAGGTTGACCCGACCCGAGCAGGGAGCGCTACAGGCCGACCCAACTGTTGGAATATATGTATCCCATTACATATATCGCCTTCAGCATAGATTGTTGTGTAGAAAACTTTATCCAACCGTTGGTGGTGAACCATATTTACCTACCCCTTGCTTGTACATCTTGGGCTTTCTCTAATGCAATCTCTTCCTTCTAATGCAATCTCTTCCTTCTAATGCAATCTCTTCCTTCTAATGCAATCTCTTCCTTCTAATGCAATCTCTTCCTTCTAATGCAATCTCTTCCTTCTAATGCAATCTCTTCCTTCTAATGCAATCTCTTCCTTCTAATGCAATCTCTTCCTTCTAATGCAATCTCTTCCTTCTAATGCAATCTCTTCCTTCTAATGCAATCTCTTCCTTCTAATGCAATCTCTTCCTTCTAATGCAATCTCTTCCTTCTAATGCAATCTCTTCTTTCTAATGCAATCTCTTCTTTCCCAAACTTTCAAGCTCTCTGAAATCCGTCTCTCAACATTAACCTGGTAACAGAGCTATGTTATAGGGTTTAAAGCCTTTCGTAGTTGCTATCGCTGTGCTCTATCCGCTCTACTTGCCAGCTCAACGTTTCCTACTCCAACGCGGCCTTCCCACGCCTTTCGCTGCTCATCTCACTGCCTTCCCTGCTTGTCACGAGGCCCTCAATTTCCGTCGCACGCTTTTTCCTGCTCATCCCGAGCTCCCTCACCAGCTCCCTCACCAGCTCGCCATGCACTATTCCTCTCTAGTCCCGCGCCTCCTCCTCCTCATCCGTGCAATCTCCCCTGCTGGTCACGCAATCCTCCTCCTCACCCGTGCGCCTCTCTCTGCTGGTCGTGCCCTCCTCTTTCTCACCCGCGCACCTCTCCCTGCTGGTCGAGTTCTCCTCCTCACCCGAGCGCTCTCTCCTAATCAACGCGTGCCTCCTCCTCACTGACCCCTCTTCACCGTCCTCCTCTTCTCTCACTATTCGTTCCTTTCCCGCTTCTCCCCCCAATCACTCCACCTCTTCCGCTGCTTTTCACTCTTCCCCCCCTTCTCTTGGTGGTGGTTACTCCTCCTTCCTCCTCCACCCTTGGGCTTGCTGCCCCCCCCCACTGCAGAATCGGCCTTTCCCTCTCTCCTTCCTTTTCTCTTGGGGGTGGCGTGGCTCCTCCTCCCTGCTCCTCCTCTCTTGGGCTTGCTGCCCCCCCACTGCAAGTGCGGCCTATCCCTCTCTCTCCTCCTCCCACCCACCCCCCCCCCCCCCCCTTCCCCCCCCCTTCCCCTCTTCTCTTAGGGGCTCCTCCTCCCTCCTCCTCCACCCTTGGGCTTGCTGCCCCCCCCGCTGCCGGAGCGGCCTTTCCCTCTCTCCCCCCCATTTCTCTTAGGGGATCCTCCCCCCTCCTCCTCCTCCTCCTCCATTGGGCTTGCTGTACCCCCACTCCAGGGGCAGGCCTCCCCTCGTTGTCGCGTGCTTCCCCCATTGAACTTGCAAGCTCTTCTGAATCGGTGTCTCAACTTCGACACCCACACCCCCGGGTCAGGGGCTTTGCACCTGCGAGTCTGCTACACGAACTGAAAAGCGAGTCATATGATCATGTCTAGCCAGCATAGACAGGCCGATCAGATCAAAGTCGCATCGTCTCGTGCTATTTGGGCTCGGTCCAACCCATCCATGTCTTGGTTTTGCACCTGCGAACCGACCCAGCCTACCTGACCCGAGCGGCGCCTACGATCATGTCCAGCCAGCCCTGAGGAACCAATCGTCTCGTGCCATTTCAGTGGTGGCTCGATGGTCGTAAACAGGGCTCGGGCCAAGCCAACCATGGCGGCGTGGCTTACACGCGACAGAGAGTTTAGCCTGCCAGGGCTATTCCGGCAGCCCTTTCACCTAGGGTTGGGCACGCACCGAACCCAAACGGGTTTGGTCGAACTTGTTCGAACCTTTACTTTTAACCGAACTAAACCGAACAAGTTTGGTCGAACTTTCCTAGAAACAAAAAGAATGTCGAGGTTTGCCTGTATTAGGGGGAACCGGAAAAGCTCGTTCGGCCTAACCTTAAAAGGTTTGGCTGAATTCAAACTAAGTTCGGTTCGAGAGTTCGTTCCATTATAGTGGGGCTTGAGGATTGGCCCCTCGTGGCGCTCATCATGGCCCCATCAGCTGGCTGGCAGCCGTTTGCCATGATTCCATATGGCTTACTTTCTGTCCAGAAAACCGTTTTTGAGCTAAGGAAAACGGAATGCCCTGGATTGGCTGTAAAAGGGTTGTTTCGGGCAAATACTATCGAAGCCCTAAAGCTAGGACGCAACTAATGAGGGGAGGTGTTGTTCTTTGTTGCCTAAACTAAAAGCTAGGGTGGGAGGGAAGGTGTCGTAGTTTGAATAGATCTGGAGTTGACTCCTGCTTGAAGTGGCATGGCAGGCAGCCAATCCTAGGACATTCCTGCTTTTGATAGGAATGTTGTGAGGGTTTTTTGGGGCCCCGTCGAAAGCCGCAAAGTTTGACGGGGCCCTAATCGAACAGTCGAACCATTTGAGCTTAACTGTCCAGGGCCGAACCGAAAGAGTATGGCCGAACCAAAAGAGTATGGCTGAACCGAACCATTTGGTCAACCTTTCTCAGAATCTAGCCAGACCTTTTTACAGGCTATAGAGAGCTTCAGGCTTACGTTCAACAAAGACATACCATTTGAGCGAGTCTGAATATATGCATTCACTAATATATCTACGTGAAGCATGTGCCATCCAATGATTAACATTGGTTGTGGCATACAAGAATCGCCACTCACTCACACGGAACGAAGATTTGTAAGTTCACTAATGGAGTCAGGGATTGTGCCTAGCAAGCCGTTGTAGCCAAGATCTCTAATGAGGGGAGACAGGGTGGATGGAGGGTATGAATGAGGCAAGAGTGTTATACCTCACTCACTGAGGAACGTATCGACATTGAGTCGACTCAAAAGAGTGTTATACCTCACTCACTGAGGAACGTATCGACATTGAGTCGACTCAAAAGAGTGTTATACCTCACTCACTGAGGAACGTAAAATAATGAATAATGATGATGTGGACCGAAAATCTCTTTTGTAAGTGCTCCAAATGTTTCATTCCTCCTACTATGCCTACTACGCATGCATGATCATTTAGACTGCCCCAGGGGCCAGGGCTGACCCATCAGCTCTTAAGAGAAGGCAAAGCTGACTGCACAGGCAGGCCCATGATGGACAGTGTCTTTACAAAGTACAGTACACACCTACCATAACGCACAAGAGCAGAGCATATGACTTTTGAGAGCAACCCAGCAACAAAAACTCCAAAGCACGACCGTGACAGCACTGGGATCAAAGCCTGGGTGGCCGATTGTGATTGTTATGTTCACCAGTGAGAAAACAACATATTTGTACAAACGAAATTTAACATCTTTGCTTCGATTGATGTCGATAGCGATCGCAATACATGCATCCCCTATTTAGTGCCATTTTGTTGTGAGCGCATTCTATTGTGAGCGATGTACGCCGTTCCATCCAATCGCAGAAAAAGCTTTTCTACCAACATCGGTTCTGTGTGCATGTGTCTCGCTTGGACAGACATAAGAGAAGCACAGTCCCTCACGCATTTGTATGTAGAGAAGAAAATATGACATGCAATGTCAGAATACTCACAAGTACGTAAGGCTGCTCATGCGACCAATAGCGGATGGAATGTTTCCAGTTATGCCACTCATGTAGAGATCCCTGGTGGGATGCCAGAAGGACGTTAAGGAAGGAGCAGAACAGCAGGATGAAGTCAAGATGGGAAACTAGTCGAGAGTATGATTAGTAGTAGCATGTGCAACGACCAAGCCCGCAGCTCGATCCTTTAAGCAGGCTCGTCCAACATGCTATTTCGACCATCGATCCATGGAAGGAAATCAGCAATGCCAGCCGCTGATCGTGTCAATGCCTTTGCTCAGATTTTGGTTTGGGTCAGGCAAAGCCACGCACTGTCTCTTAGGCATGAGAAAGAGGCGAACACGAACATGCTCGTGCTCGCTCTTGGTCGAACACTTCACCTGGGCGAACCGAACATGTTCGGTTCGCCGTGAGTACCTTATGGAAAAAGGGTGTTCGCCTGTTCGCGTTTGGGGGCGAACACGGAGGGTGTTCACCCCAAGCACAAACATGTTCAACCCGAACATGTTCGTGCTCGAATTTTCAAGCCTTAAACTAGCCTGGGATGGGAGAAATGGGGTACTAGTTATGGTATGGGCAGCGGTTTCTGCAAGGGGAACTAGTTATTTTTTGCCCACATAGCTCCTCTCTCGCTCTTCTCCATGGGCTCTGCGCTTGGCAGTCGAGTCGAGTTATGTCAAGGTGCAGCTGTGGTGCGGTGTGGCTCGTCGAGGACCAGTGCGGCCCAGGTGCAGGCGACGAGTGCCCCATTTGGGTAAGTAATATCAAGATTTGTTCGCCTTAAGAACAAACTTTACCCTTAGAGTTCCTATACCTCTTTCCCCACTTTCAAACAGCTCCCCATTCTGTCTCTCACACACACCTCCCCATCTCTATATGCTGGTCAATCCGGCCCTAATCTGGCCAGTCTTCATCCGCACCCCGGGGCCGGCCAGGCCCGCCGCCACTTGCAGACGTGCCAAGGCACGCGCTGGTGGGAGGATAGGGCCGGTCCAAAACCAGCACTTGACCGTGCCTACCTGCTTTCTAACATGCTCAAAACAAACAAGGAGCAACATCAATGCCCACCTTGTTAATACTTAAGTCAGCATAATCATTCCTTTTACAGTGAGTGTATGTAAGGCGTATGAAGTAGGCATGAGCAATCAACAACCGAACTCAACCCAGTTGGACTCGAACCGAGTCAAACAAAAATATGGCCAGTCCGAACTGGCTCAGATGAGTCGAGCCGACATCAAGGACTAGAGGCTCGAAGTTCGACATACATGGTCAAACACTGGTTTGAGTCAGACTGTTTGCGGATCAACTTAAACCGATTTGGTTCGGCTCCGCGACAGCATTCATACTACTCGCATATTTTTCAAGGTGTTTCTCGTTTTTAACATGAAACTGTGCTAGGTTCATGTAGACATGAGCAAATGGCGAACTCGAATGTGTTTGCCACGAACCCCAATGAACACTTACCATAGGCGAACCGAACCTGTTCGGTTTGCCACAAACGTTTCTTTCAAAACAGGTGTTCGTGTGTTCGTGGTTACAGGCGAACACTTCAGGGTTTGCCAAGAACCCGTAAGTGTTTGCCTCGAACTCTAACTAGTTCGAACTCAAACATTTCCAACCAACTCTAACTAGTTCGAACGCACTGAAAGTACAATTCCAACCACGCCCCCCCCCCCTTCCCCACCCACCCAACCCCCACCCCCTCCAACTCCTTACAGATCTCTCAACATTGAGCCCCTGCACATAGTCGACTTTTAGGGTTTTCCCCAGTGTTGATATCGGGTCGGGTCAAAGCTCGACCTGGTTACCCTGTTTTTTACCCGATTCTGGGTAGGCATGAGCATTTGGCCCGGCCCGACCCGACTTGGCCGGGCCAAGCGGGTTTCCATCCAGACCGGGTCGGGTCGGGCCAGCCTCGGGCCAGGGTGTCGCATATTCTGACCCGACCCGGGGGTACAGGGTCGGGTCAGGGTTGACCCGATCTCGGATCGGGCCAGGGAAACCCGCTTCCGCCCGCCGCCTGTGCAGATCGGCGATTTCGACCAGGCCGGGCCAGGCTCGAGAAAATCCTGACCCGACCCGGCCATATTAGCGTCAAACGTGAACGAGTTCGCGTTCGCCCTATTTCCCGCGAAACGACGAACCTCGCGAAACACATTCGAGAATGGAGGTTCGCGATTTTGTTCAAGCCTAGGTTCATGGGCGTTAGAGAAAGTGGGTACTTCCATGTCAACCAGAGAAATCATATAAGGAACTGTGGTTTTTTCGCCTGTAACCTTGAGAGATCCTAGGCGAACTGAGAAACGAGTCGAACCAGTTCGGGTTGGAACGAACTGAGGATCAGTACTACTATGCCCAGATCCAACAACTATCCTCAAACAAAGTGCACCTCATGGCAGAACCAGAAGAGTTCCGATGCACGAAAAGTCTATTCAATTCTGAATCTGAGCAGTGAGGGTCCGGCTGTGTGGCTCACATGTCAACGTAATAAATCGTTCAGCTCACAAGAGTCGAAGATTCGTGAGCTGGCTAACAGAGTCAGGGATAGGGCTCCACAGTCTGTTTTCCCGAAGGCTCCTGCCAAGAGCACATTGGATTGGAGGGGACGCATGTGGCAAAAGAGCTGGATGGATGATTGAGCAACAGGTCGACCCGACGCATATGGACATGCAACTAGACATGAGCAACAGGTCGACCCGACCCAAAGCGTACCGGTTTTCATCGGGTCTGGTCGGACTGAGAGTTTCCCCAGCCCGACCAGGCTTAAAAGGGGTCGGTTCGGCACATACCGAGGTTCGGGTCGGGTCGGGTCGACTTGCGACGGCTGCTGCGATAACTGCGAGGAGGACTGCGGAGAAGGGGACGGGACCTGAGGGGCTACGAGGGGGGGGGGAGGGGGGGGGGGGGGGGTAACGTGTGACACACCTGACGAGGTTGGACCAGGGGGGGGAAGCTGTACCGGAGGAGCAGGAGGGGGAGTGGGAGTTAGGAAGTGAGGGGGAGGGGGAACCGGGAGACCTCGGCAGGGGTACCGGGTGTAGTAGGGGACTGACTCGTCAAAACAAATGTCACGGGAGTCAAGGAACCAGTGAAGGGGAGGGTGGTAGAAGATGAAGTCAAAGGAGTCCTCTGGGTAACCAAGGAAGTAACAGGGAAGGGCGCAGAGGGAGAGCTTGTCCGCGGAGGTGTCGCGAACAAGCACCAAGCAACCCCACACACGAAAACGCGACACAACACCAGGGGACCCGGTCCAAAGACTGGTCGGTGAAACCCCTGGCCGGGAGACACGTGGCCAGAGGTTCAGCTGGTGAGCGGCGTACCGAACCGCGTAGGGCCATAGAAAATGGGGCGCACGGGCATGGATCATGGTCAAGAGGGAGGAACGGGATCCAACAGGGTCTTAACCTAGGTGATACCATGTCAGAAACGGAATGATGCCTGCATTACTGTGAGTTGGGGTACATATACCTAACCCTAACAACTGTACCCCACATGACATGCCTCACTACAGGCTACAACATTTGACATCCAGGCCGTTGATGAATGTAAATCTCGATCTGACGGGTGAAATTGAACTTGACAAAAAACAACTGAAGCTCTAAATGTGGACCGTTGATGAATTCAGATGTTGACATGGAGGTCGAAGATGACGCGATTTTGGAAAAAACCTGCTATCACAAAATTCAAACGTTGTTGAGTAGGGACCATTGATTTGGATGGCTCGATTGAAGTCGTCCATCATGCTGCTGAATTCTGATGAAGTCGCGAATATTGATTTCGACAAAACAATGCAGCGCATTTTCTCCCCCTCTTCAAGGAAGAAAATTGACCACAAATTTTTTCATAGCTGCAGAGTATGAAATAATAAATAACCAGTGTTAAGTCCCATTGACGTTTAGCGGTGTGCAGGCGAAATCGTGTCGGCGTTGAAGCCAGTGGCGAAACCAGGTGTGACGCGCCATAAAATCTTTAAGGGAGAACTCGATCAAATCCTCCGTTGGGGTTAGATGACGTCAGCTCCTCCGGCAAGTTTGTCTAGACCCGCCAAGTGTTTTGTCGTAATCCGCCGATGGTTTCCAGGTAGAGGTGAAAAAACAGTTGTCTCTTCCCCCCTCCACTGTTGCAGTTGCTTCCTCTCTTCATGAATGTCGTTTGTACCCCCCAAAACTCCACAGTTTTGTTCGCAATATTGCTCCACACGGGTGTTGTGCACTTTTAACCAAGCGCCGAAAACTCCCGCAAAATGGTCGGCGCTCCTTGTCATATACCGGTAAGTCCTTGCTTAATCTCCATAAATGTCGGAGCCAGAAATACATCCTTGAAATTGTAGGTCGTGGGCAAGGATGTCCTCCAAAATCTTTGGTCATAATATAGCTGCCCACTCGGTCACCAGCTGTTTTCGTCTGTTCACCAGACCCCAGCATGTGGGTATAATAAGGAACCGAGGACTAGACCTGGATTATCCCGAGAATGAGTTTCACGGAACCTAGCACGCATCAACGCCGTCGATCCCATTGTCCAACTGCCCCTGCCGATGTTGTTTGAAAAAGCACCACGTTTCTCCCACAGGAGTTGTGCAAACATTTCACCCGTCGCTCCACTCAGCAGGTAGTTTCGAAGTTTTGTCTACTCCCACACTCCTGAATTACCAGAGGTAAACACCAACCAGCAGGTCCTAGGTATCCATGGTGAAGCAATTCTTGCCAGGCCCCTTTTTATGTAAAAGTGACCCTTCAGGCCAAGTCCCCCACCGGCTGTCAGAATCTTGATCCCCGTGGACCCTGCTCCTATTCCTGTCTCTCTTTTCTTAGGCTCTTCCTTGCACCTCTCTTGTCTTGACTCCCACTCTCTGTCTCCTCACTTGGAAAAGTCTAGGCAATGTACTGCATTTGGGTTGTTAGCTCGGCTGAGTGCTGCTTGAACTGGCTTCCCTAGCTAGGATAGAGGTGATTCCTTTAGCTAATTGGGAAAACAAACAAGCAAGCCGTTGGCTTCTGGCTCCCTGCTACCCTAAGTATCGTGTTGGCGCTTACCGTTACTCTTTCTACCGTTGTTACTTTCGC